AAGACGGCCCCAGAGGCCCCCAAGATCGCCCCAAGAGGGCCCAAGAGGCCCCCAAGAGGGCCCCAAGATGGCCCAAGAGGGCTCGAAGACGGCCCAAGAAGCCTCCAAGACGGTCCAAGAGGGCCCCAAGAACACCCCCAGAGGGGCCCCAGAGAGGGAACACGAAACAAAATTTCGAGCCCTCGGCCCTAAGAAGCCCCTACGAGGCCCCAAGAGGCCCCTAAGAGGCCCCAAAAGGCCCCCACGAGGCCCTCAGGAGGCACCCAAGAGTCCCCCAAGCGGCCCCAGGAGGCCCCCCAAATGCCCCCCCGAGCGCCCCAGGAGTCCCCCAAGCGGCCCCAGGAACTCCCAAAGCGCCGCATTGACACCAGGCCCTCGGGCAAACGGCAGACATGAGACCGTATGGGCCGGCGGAATGAGCGAAGCGATGAAATAAGAAGCCAGGACAGTCACAAGCCTTTTATACCGGTTATGCATATTGACGATCAAACTGTACTCGACGGGCGGTAAGTGTAGCCTGCCTTCCGAGGAGCCTAGGGAATACACTCTTGCACGTGGCTCTGGCTGCCGTTCAAGATCAATGGGGACTGCATTCAGCACAAGTTGAACAGCTTGGGCAGACAAGTTCAGCAGCTGCCAGCCAGATTTCACGATTTGCTGGGTTACCTGATGCAGCTTCACGGGGCCACCAACAACAGGGCCACTCTTACTTGCTTCAGTGAGCTGCTGGAAAGTATGCGACTGGCCGCTGGCTTGCTGAGTCGTAGTCTGCTCATGAATCGGCTTTGGCAGTGCTGGCTGTGAAGAGGATCGTGGAGTCGTTGTCTGTTCCTGAAGCGACTGTGACGGCGCTGGCTGCGAAGAGTGATATTCAGGAGACTGTGCTGCCGATGCAGCGAGCAACACCATGGATCCATGTATCAAGGCCCATGGGTCAATAACTAAGACGACTGCTATCCAACCGATCCAATACATAATCAACAACAGACACACGTTCATAAGCTAAAAGGGTGGGCTGGACTGGATGAGATTCTCTACGATTTCGATGTATGGTTCCGATTCCGATTTACTTGAGCCAAAATGGCCACGGAGGCAGTCTTGGCGCATCTTGCGGCCCTCTTCGGGCGATCTTGGGAGCTTTAGGGGAGCTCTTAGGGCCATCTTGGAGGACATCGATCAAGCGTGTGGGGGGGGTCCACTTCCCACCCGCCGCCCCCCCCACCCCACCCCATCCTCGGGCGCCCCAACCACCGTCTCTTGGGGAACCCTCGGGGCGCTCTCGCAACACTCTTGGGCGCGTTTGGGGCCGTCCTGGGGCTCTCTTGGGCCTTTCTTGGGGCCCTCTTGGGCCATCTTGGGGCCGTCTTGAGGCCTCGGGTGGCTATCGACAGCGACCAGGATCGACGCCCTCTTGCGCCATATTCGTCGGATGGCTTGGGCCATCTTGGAGGTCATCCTGGGCTCTCTAAGGCGATGTTGGAGCCTGCCTGGCCCATCTTGGACGCTCCACCTACTTGCCTGCGACACGGAGTTCAAGACACCCCCTAGATAGCAAGCCATCTAGCTGAATCACACCCGCCCTCCCAGCACATAAGTAACGCACGATTATCAGCATGTTCAGCGGTCGTCTTTGGATGTGCGTGACGCTGTGGCGAGGTGCGCAATTTGTGCAAGGCGCGCCACGCGCGCCATGCACCCCCAGGGCCTGAGCGCGCCAAGCACGTCTGGTGCGCCGGGTACGCCCCTCCCCGATGGTGTTCGAGGAGGAGCCTCCCTAGACCTCCTGCGCCCAGAGGGCTCGTTGGGATTCGGGCGGTCGAGCAGGGAGTGTGCGTGCCCTTGGGCCAGCTGCGTGACCCCCCCCCAGGCATCGGCGGGTCCGACCGGGCAGCGCCGCGCGCCGCTTCCGTCACCGCCCTAGCCCGACGAGGACGACGGACATCGGTTCGGCGTCCTATTCCACCTGCCCACTCCGCCCGCCCCCAACCGCCTGCCCAGTCATGGCCTCGAGTGGCCGATCTGAGGGGCCCGATGTGTACCCGATCGCTGCGGAGCCCCGTGCGGGCCCCTCTCCCCCCCACTCCCTCCGCTCCCCTGCCCCGCGCTTCGGTGACCGCAGGACGACGACTACACGCTGCTGGACCGCGCTGTCAAGCTGATGGTGGATGCCCTCCCCGACATTCGCACTCACTGCCTATCGGAGACCGCTCAACGCTACTCGATCATTCGGGTAATTAGGCACAGGCTTCTCCGGGTTTGGGTGCGTGTTTGTATTTGTGGTGTGTTGTTTTTGTTCGCTTGGGTTGTTCTTTTGGTTTTCTGTGTGTCAGCTGTGTTGGAATGTTTGACCACCAAACGCCCGATCGGAGCACTGAGTGATCCACGGTGATGTTCAAACCATCTGGGAGCGTACTCCCTGATGGACGCTTCAGAATGCGGTAAATTAGGAGGCCCGGCGAGACCCTGCTGCTCCGAGCAGATATACGCAGCAGCTGCCCGAAGGTAACATTTGGGAGGCTTCGCGAGCCATGAGACTAGCTCGGAGGTGTTACGGTGGTCCCTTGGAATCCCTGGAGGCCAGTGATTTGGGGCATCTCAAACCATCTAAGGGCTGTCAAGGTTCGTCCAAGCCGTATCGGGCGCGGCCTTGGGGAGCCCTTATGTCGTACTGTGCCTTCTGGGAAGCGTTAAGATGTTGCACAACATGCGGTACCAGGCAGATGACGCGGCTCACTCTTCTAATGGAGGCGAGAACCAACACGACTTCGCGCCATAGGTATGCGTGGAGGGCGACTCACCCCAGCAGTTGTCTGGCAGGCGCCCAGGAAGGCTCCAGGAAGCCGCGCTAGGCAACCACGTGGAGGACCCAGGGCAGCCGACGGGGGTATGCCCAGAGCTCCCAACAGCCTGAGAAAACCATGCTGAGAGTCTCTTTGGATGCCTTTGGGGAATGTTCTTGGAGGGCTCTTGGGGGTTTCTGGGCGTGAGGTATCGTCGGTTTTTGGTGGGGTCGCCTGGTTGTCTCTTGGGACTTCTGGGGCGCGCCTCAGGGGCCTCGGGGCCCTTGGCGTCTAAGCTCAACATGTCAATTAGGGTCGGCCTTGAAACATGAAATTGAAGGATGCCCCTCTTTTCTTCAAGCTCGGCCTCCTACCACTTTGGGGCAGGATGCTGTGTGAGGGCGGCGGAGGGAGGAAAGAGTGAAGGAGAAGTGAGGATGAGGGAGGAGGGAGACGGTAACGCATGAGGGAGGCGGAAACAGGAAGGTGTGAAGGGGTGACGAGGAAGAGTGAGGGAAAATGACGCAGCGGGGAGGAGGAGGAGGAGAGGGAGGAGAAATTTGGAAATGGGAGACGGAGGAGACCAAGAACATGAGAAAGAGAGAGAGAGAGACCATGGAGAACGGACAGCGAGGGATGAGAGAAACGGAAACGCATCCTGGGGCACGCCAAAGCGTGGGTCAGGAGGGAACCGAAGGGGATGGGCGAACTTGAAAAAATGATGTTAGGGAAACCGCTCCCAAGATCGCCCAAAGAGGCCTCCTAGAGTCCCCGAAGACCTCCAGGAAAGTCCTCGATAGGACAACATCCTTGCAACAACAAATGACAATTACGTTTTGCGGTTCTCACAGTTCCGCCTCCGACACGCTTCCGAGGCTTGCGCATGCACCCCAAGAGCGCTCCAATATGCCCCCAAGATGGGATCCGAGCGGTTCTTGAGGGCATCTTGGAGTTATCCTTGGGGCCCCTTGGGAGCTCTTGAGGGCCTCTCGGGGCCCTCTCCGGCGCTACCTGGGTGCCTGCGGGGCGGCTCCTGCGAGATCGTTGGGACCTGCCCGGAGCGTCTTGGGGCCTCGGTGGTACCCCTGCGGGCGTCATGGGAGCCTCTTGCCGCTCGGGACGCCTCTTGGGGACCTCTTGGGGCTCCCTTGGGGAGCTTGCGCAAGCCTCGGACGCGTGTCAGAGGCGGAAGTACGAGAGAACAGGCAAACATGAATTGTCCTTAGGTTCTTCAAGGACTTTGGCCTCTCGAAGGCATCCTCGGAGCTCTTGGGACACTGTTGCAAGCCTCTTGGGGTGATCTTGAATGCTTTGGGGGGCTTCCAGGGCCGTCGGGGGGCCGGCTTGGACAGCCTTGGGGCTCTCTTGGGCTGTCTTAGGGGCGTCTTGAGCCGTCTTCAGGCTCTCCGGGAGCTCTGTTGGACCCCCGGGAAGGTGGTACTGGGGATTTGCCGGAAATGATAACGCAGTGGGCGGAGCCCTGGGGCGGGGGGCCTCTTCATGTATGTTTGTGTTCATATTTGATATATGTATTGAGTTGTCGATTGGTAGATTTGTGCACATGTATATATATATATATACACAAGCGATATGTACATATATATACACATATATATGTACACACATATATATATATAATCAAGGCACGGCCCGCGCCGTCCAAGAGACCTTCCCCCTCCCCCCTAACCCCACCTGCGCGCGGCTGAGAGCCAACGGTGCCTCGGCCGCCGGCCCCAGACCTTCGACACCACGATTTTTGTTCCGAATGCCGACCCCCATTTGAGCCACCTCTCATCCTGACTCCGATCAAGATCGAATGAGAAATATAAGATAGAAGAGGAAACTAATCAGCAAGCCCGGAGAGAGGCGGGGGCTGGGCGGGCGGTCCTTCCCCGTGACAAGTGTTTCATCCTGACCCATTGTTCGACAGCCCCGAGGCCCCGTAAGGGCTCCCACAGGCCGAACGTAGCGGTGCACCGTACACGCCGGTCGGAAGGAGTGGGAGAAAACATGAAGTAGAAAGACGGAGAAAGTAGATTTGGCTCAGGCCCTCCCAGAGAATAACACCACGCAGCAAGCACATATCGACTCTTGAAGTAGGAAGGCGCTCGGACTACATTGGGATCTCGACATCCAAAGATAGCTGGTTTCAACGACCAGCGTGTACGTCATGATTTTGTTAATGACTCGAGGGGGTCTGGATTGCGCCCCGACCCGAGCCTCCGATGCCTCCGCTGCCGGCCCCGCTGGTGCCTCCGCCGCCGGCGGCTTCTCTGCCTCCGGCTCGGCTGGCGGCTCGACGGGCGGCTCGGGCGGCGGCAGCGAAGGGGCCCCTGCTGGCGGCGCCAACGACGCGGGCGGCGGCCCCGGGCACGCCTGCGGTTCATGGCCGGGGTCGCCTGGCTGGATGCACACACACTTCGAACGGATGGTGCGCTTCTGGTCCCCTGCACCTTCGGGCCCTGGGCCCTGCGATCCGTGGGGCGTTCTCGGGCCCCGGCCAACCGACGCGAACCGGGAGGTGGACAGCTGCCCGTCAGGGGAGGAGTGGTGGAAGGCGGGGAGGGAGGGAGTGGGCCCCCTGACCTTCCAGGGTGATTCTGAGTGGCCCTCCAGACCTAGAAACCGATTTGGTCTGCCGAAGACCTCGAAAGCAATTTGAAAGTCGACGTCCTGGTGCTACTTTTCAGCCTTCCTGGAAGGTCAGGGGGGGGAAGAAGACATGGGCGGCGGGCGGCAAAGGCGGGGAGACAGTGGAGGATAGAGGAGAAGGAGGGGAGTGGGGCGAAAGCGGGGAGGGAGAAGAGGAGCAGAGGGAGACGGGGGAGGAGAATATGAGGCCAGGGAGGAGAGGACTTTTTTGGAACTCCGCACCCTCGCCGCCTGCTGCCTGATAAGATTGGCAGGCTGGCACTGCTGCAACGGAGGGGGGTGCAGCATGTGAAATCAAAAAAGCAACCCTGGCAGTGCGACGCACTCTGACTAAAGACCTGCAGCAGAGCACGGCGCAGCTGTAGGGCCAACCTGGCGGCATTTCGGACACACCAGGCTGGAGCAGACGAGCCCCTGCCGTCGACCAGTGCGGGAGCCTCGAGGCCAACGCGCCCGGGCGACGGGCAAGCCTGGTTGCGTGACGGCCGCACCAGGGGTGGAGCAGACGAGCCCCTGCCGTCAATCAGAAGCAGCTGCTCTCCAGAGCAGGCAGCTGCGGCGGCCGCGGGTGTCGCAGGGTGCCCCTCGAGACCTGGTCCAGAGACCCCCGGCTGGGTGGCCCTTCGCAGGTAAGTGCACTGGGCCAGGGGGCCAAGCCTCCGACTGCACGGGCATAGCAGGGCCAGCACTCGACGCAGCTGGCTCCGACGAAGGCGAATCAGAAACAACTCAGATATTGAGGCATCGCATCAACGAACACGTGTCCACGGAAACCCTGTGCTTCTGCCGGCTGCAGTGAAGACGCCTGCCTTTGAGCAGAGCTTCCCAAACGTGATGGGCAGCTCTGGTCCGGGGGGTCACGCACTCGGCCGCCAGGCCTCAGGCGCGGGCCCCCGGCGTATGAAATTCGCATCGGACACAGATGAAAAACACAGAATGGTCAGAGCAGTCAGAGGCAACCGTCTCGTGCCCCAAAGCGTCTAAGCTTGAAGCCTGCAGCCTCGAATCCTGGGGGCACGCACTTCCCAGGCCGAGGACGCCCACTGCTCCTACATCCTCTCAGACAGACAGCAGAGCGTCAGACTCCAAACCAAAACTGCCACCCGTGCCCGACATGCTGAGCCACGCGAGCATCAGGAGCCCCGCGCTAAACTCCAGTGGCACACGACAGTGGCAGCAAGTCAAACAGTCGCACGAGCAAATCAAACTTGTTCGTCGGCGACGTCAAACACATTCCTAGGCGAAGGGTAAAGGTTGACGGCATGCTTGGCCCCGATGTCGGCGTGATTGCCACCGCATCTAAGCCGACGCTCTTTATCGCCAGTGCACTCCTCCTCCAAAGACAGGCGCGCAGCCACCTCGGTACAGGAGACCACCGTAGGCTGCTGAACATAGCGTTGCCAAAAGGGTCCGACACGCATGGCACTTAGGCGAGAACCGCTCGGCTTGGAAACACGCGCGGCAGTATTGGCCACGTTGCTGCCATCCGAAAACCCGCGGGAGCCCTCGCAGCTCCTGTGCAGGACGTGGGCCCAGGGGCGGGCACTGAGCTCGGCCCCTTGGGGAGGGTCTGAGTGTTAAGAGCCCCACGCGGGGGCGCCGAGCTCAGCCGCGAGCTCCCCCGACGGGTCAGCCACGCAGACAGAGCTGGCAAAATGAGAGAGCCCGCGCACCGCATGCCTGGCGCAAGAGCCGTCGACGAACATGTCCCCCAACGGATCCGCATCAGTGGAATCAACAGACCTGTGCCGCGCGAGTCTGGGAGAATCGTTGGCCTCGCTGAGGGGCTCGGGAGACTTGCCCGCGGGATGCCGACAGGCGCCAGGAACAAAGACGAATGGGGCATCGCGGTCGCCAGACGCCTTACCTGACAGAGCCGCGTCGACCACGGGCTGCCTCGCAGCCTCCAGACGGTCGGCGACGATTGGGGGGCGATGGTGTTCTCAGCGCTCGAGTAACAACGCATCCCTTTCACCGCAGAAGGAACCATCAGGGCACGCGCGATAGCCCATCCTGTCAGCACGATCGCCCCCCCCAAAAAACCTCCGTCGTAAAGGCTCGCATCCAAGGTTCCTGGAGCGGAGTGCAGCGCTTGGACGTCCGAGATATGCTGGCTTTGACAACAGCGCAGCACATCCTGAACTTTTTCTCCGCTTCCCCCCGAATCATGCTCGAACATCCTCAGATGCCCGCGGCGAATACAGGGGAAAAATCAATAAAAAAACATGAGAGCCGAAGTCACGGACAATCGCGAAACAGTCAGCAATGTGCCATCCGACGCGGACGAGCGACATGCGAGGGGCAACAATGGGGCCAGCAACCCGACGCCAGGAGCAGCTGTCGGGGCTGAAGGCTACAATGCGGGCCTGACGCAGGGTTGGGAGACTGAGGGCCGACGCGCAAGCGCAAGACTGAGAGCTCCACATCTCTTTGCTCCATCTCGAGCTCGGCGCCACGGCCGCCCCCAGGTAGGGCACTCGTCGAGGATGGCAACAATGGTCAGGGGCCCTAGCTGGCTGGCCGGTCGCGACAAGAAAACGCGCAGCAGCGGCACACGAAGGTCGTAGTCACTAGCGCCTGCGATCTCTGAGCCGCACGAGGCCCCCGCCAGAGCATCTGCGGAGTAGACTTTCAGCATTGAAGATCACTTGAGGACACTGGACTGCCGAGCAAGGCGCCTGGCGGCTGGCGAGGCGTCCGCGATGCAACTCGACAACATGGTCGAGCGGCCAGCAACGTTGACTGAACGTTCAGCAGTGCAGTCCACGCCTTGGTTGACAGCCGAAGACTTTCAGCCCGCCGCCAAGGTGCTCCAGTGCCTTGGAAACCCAGGCGCCGATTTGCTCAAACCTGGAAGCCAACGCCGCATTTTCATGTGTGTTGGTAAAGCCAGCGACCTGCCTCACAACGTGGTCGACCTGTTTAGCCCCTCCGACGACTCACATAATAACTTTGGCGCCAAGACCTGTGGCTCATGGGCAATGGTCGTCAATGCACGCATCTAGATCCAGACGTGGAGAGCGGACCAGTCGATCATGACCATCGACGCACTAGACGCGAATGAAGATTGTGGCCGTCGAGCACCCAGCGATCAATCCGTTTGGGCCCAAATACGGGTCCTCGAGTCACCCTCCAAAGCGGACGAAACTTCCACGCTCAAATCAATCAATCGTGGTTGGCGGAGCAGCGAAATCGTCGGCGCGCATTTCAGGCCAAACAAGGCACCCGAGAAGCTCCGCGACAAACTTCGAGCCCTCCAGGTTTCGAGTTTCAAAAATGACATCCGCTCCGAGGACCCAGGGCTTGACCTGGCGAGACAAAGGGGAACCCAAGTATGGTAGAAGAATATGGACACGGTCGGGCAAGCCTTCCGCGCGAAACAGGCACGCAGGACGCGACAAGAGGAGGAGCCCCAGGAAGCTTCACAAGCACGTCAGACCGCGACCCTCAAATACCTTGTCCCCGTCCACGGGGAGTCAACCAAGCCGATTGCGCACCGGGATGGCCGTGCCACCAGACGCGTCGCTCGCCTCGACGGCCGTGGCAGGACGCCCCGGACTTTTCGAATCGCGACGCAGACGCCAGGCGCTGGCCTGAAATATGGCCTCGCCGCCCCTGGGCCGATGCTCCCTGCGAAGCAGAACGCGCGGTGTAGCACCTTCGGCCGCGGACCGAACCACGCCCCAAAAGTTACCCTTGGCGGCCTGAACTTCGGGCGCCGCAGATTCCGCATTCTGCGCGCGCGGAATTCGTGGGGAGCGCGGGGGCAGCGTGAGATGCCGTCAGCGGCGCGAAGTGGACCTCGCCCGCACGTTCTGATGAGAAGCTCAGGGGGAGACAGGGAAAACATTGTTGCAGAGTGTCGGCGGCCACCTGGGGCCTCCAAAATCAGGAGCAGAAAGGTCCCAGGATAACGAAACCACGAGCGGCGCCTCAGGGTGCAGGGCAACTGCGGCGGCGCGACTTTCGCCAACGACATCACAGGATACACCAATGACGGACTGGCGAAAGGAGGGCCTGCTGACGGAGGATGGCAGGAACACAACTCGGGTTGGCAACGGGCTCGACGGCCAGCGCTGCCTCGGCACGAGCACGCAGGGACTTCCGCCCGCGCGAAAGAAGATGCTACTGCAAATTGGAAGGCGAACCAGAGGCCAGCAGCATGGGGAAACCACGCTTGCGCCAAAGATTCACTCGGGCCGACTCCGCCGAGCAACGCTTCAACGCGAGGTAGATCTCGCCTTGGTCCGACAAGCCACCGACGCGCGCGAGGAAGCCCGCGGAAAGCCTTTTCCGGGTTTCCCCAGGGGAGGGGGATTGGGAAGTCGGAGGCGTGCCTGAGCCTCCTCCCTTAGCTACAGCGCGATGGGCTCTGGCCTGGGCAGCGTATGGCCGAGGGGGAGGCAGGCGCTGCGGGCTCAGATTCCGCAGCCGCGGCACCTGAAGCCGAACTCGCCAAACCCGAAACTCCTGTCCCTGGACGGCCGCCGGTGTTACCAGCAGCTGCAGTTCCCTACTTTGCAGTGTCCATGTTCGGCTTAGCCCCCGTGAACAACGACTTCGCGAGACCGGAGAAACCCGACTCGAGCTGATCGACGCGCTTGGCCAGGGCCTCCGTATCCTCGGAAGACCAGTCAGGGTTCGCATGGAGCTTTTTAACGTGTCACCGAAATCCACGTCGAAGAATGATCTCGGCTTCTGATGGCCGAACACAGCTTCAGCGGGTAACCTGGGAGGCCACGTAGGCTCCGCCAACAGAGCTTCAACAAGACGCTTGACCAAGGAGCCGTGCTCAACCTCTGCTTCGATGAGCTCCGCCCTGCGCTGCACCTCCGTCTGCTGCTGAGAAGAGAGGGCGGCCTCCATGGCATCATAACGCGAACATGCTTGCTCCAACCTGCCCTCCAAGTGCCGTGCACGACCATGATCACAATTGAGTCGACCCTTGTATCATTGCAGGCATAGACTTAGGCTGCAGGAGATATCTTGCTGCCGCGCGATGAGCGGACGAGTCTCGATTGTTCCCCAGCTTGTCGCATTGAGTGCGATCTGAATGTTTTCATCAGCACTGAATGGCGGAGATGACTCAGACGAGTCCTTACCAACACCCTTCCCCAAACCCGCAGCACGTCAATTGACACCGCCCTCGCCTGAAAGTGAAAGCGCGTCGCCAACTCCGCCATGCGAGAGGACTAGCGGGCCGTTGGACCGACCACACGGACCCCGGGTCAAGTGTGCAATCCGTCTTGAGCGAAGGCCCGAAACAACACGACGCCGTTCTGAAGGCATGCTGCTGCACACCAAAGCAGCTTTGGCCAGAACGGTTAGAGAGTTGAGGAAGGAGGAGGAGGAGGACTGAGAGAAGCGAGACATTTGGGGTATCGATTCTCCTCCGGGGTGGCGTCTCTGAGTCGAAGCAGCCCGACGGAGCAAGCCAGGTGAGGCCTCCAAGTCGCTGTCGAGCAGGGGGGCCCATGGGGTGCAAGCCGCCAGCGAGGAGCTGCGCGGCTACGACCGGTAGGCGACAGCAGCACGATCGACGTCCGCCGCGCCTCACTCTAAGCGGCGGCATCGCTCTGATTCGGTGCCTGCGCCTCTCCCGGCATCTGCGTCTGCAGCTTGGCCTCCAGATCCGCCGACTTCACGAGGTGGGCGGTGGTCGCGCTCTCAGGCGGGCACTCCGCCGTGTGCGAGCCCTGACCACGCCCGCTGCGCAGCGGCGGAAGCCTGCAATCGATCCACGCTGCAGCCTCAGGGTGGGTGATTGGAGCTGGTGCTCTGAGGCTGGGCCTTCGCACCAGGCAGTTCCTCAAGCAACTGCGGCTGCAACTTATCCAGGCCCCGTTCACGGGCGCGTTCCTAAACCAGCGCGCCGGCGCGTCCGAGAAGACTGCAGCCGTGGATCGAAGCCCTGTCCATTTGTCCGCCTATCCCGCTAGACTTTGCAAAGATTCTGGTTTGCCAGGTGTCCTGGTTTCCGGGGCTCTCAACGTGGCATTCGTCTTCTCCGCTGGCTCGACATCAACAAGGCACGTGACCTCGGGGAAGGTCCTTCGAAGCACGATGCCCCTGAAACACCTACGCCAACCATCCAGCCCGGCCGTCATCTGAGCAGGAGAGGGGGCTTCCTCAGGCGGGGCTTCTGCCAGAAGCACCACCTCCGACAAGTGCGCCCTCAGCCAGGCATCGCTGTCCAACACCTGTTTAACGCTCCAAGAGCCGCGGCAAAAGGCATACATTCTTCGACACGTGCGCTGGTCGTCTGGCATCCCTCTCCGCAAGAGGCTCATGAGGAATAGGATGCAGGAGAGAGCATGATGTCGATGAGGAGGGCGGGGGGAAGAGGGCACAAGGAGAAAGGAGGTGGCGGAGGAAGTGGAAAACGTGAAAGTATAAGGAGGTGGACGGAAGACGGTCCCGACGAGGACGAGCTGGATTGATTGAGGTGTTGGTCGCCTGGCCCGATCGGAGCCACCTCGGCATTGAGGGGAACGAGGTTGCCCATCTTGAGCATCACCTTCTTGCCATTATCCAGCTCCACTCCCCAGCGGCATTTCGCCGCGTCGAACTGGAGCAGGCTCCCATCAAGTCCGTTCAGCTCCGTGCTCTTCGTCAGGCCCTTCACCTGGATCCTCGAGCCTGGCTTCAGCTCGATCTTACCCTCCATGGGACGCCAGAACTAACGGCAACAACGTGCGCGACCTCATCCTGCTCATTATCCCACATCTTCCACATCATTCCTCCTGACACCCTTCTCATCCTCCTTCTCCTCCTCCTCCTCCTCCTAAAACTCCGCCCCGGATCGTTGACGATGCCACATATATCGCTGCTATTTCCCACTGGACGGAAGGGGCATCATCCGCTATCCGACCACATCTGCGTCGAATGCTGCCAGCCCGAGGGCTGGCTGTGTAGGATGCCACAGCGCAACAAACAGGCACAATGAACGCACGCATGTGTCTCACAGCGCTTGCGGGGAAGAGTTGGGCGGCGGGGGGGCTGCTTCCCGAGCTCTGGAAATCCTGGCCCCCAAATACAAAATGGGCATCTCTTAAAACTATGTTGCTCCTATCGCACTGAAGGACCACATGCTAGAAATAGTCTCGAGCACTCAAGATAATTATCGATACAATGTCGAACGAAAATCGCCTCCCATGGCCCGACACGTGAAAACCCTTCCGTTTCGGCACTTTCTGGCGCTCGAAACTCTTCCTCGTGGTCCAGGCTGAAGCAAGTTGGAACATCCTAACCTTAGAAACGCCCGTTCTGCTTCCGCCCGCGTCCGCCGGCCGTCAGCCGGCTACCGACGCTGGAGCCGCCGCCGGCTGAGGTGTCGGGGCTTCGTAAACGGGGGTTTAGCTAAACGGGGGATGAGGCTTTTCTACATACCCCCGTTTACTGTACCCCCGTTTGCGGCACCCAGGGCCCCCTAAACGGGGGCATAGAGCCAAACGTGGAGATCGACATTCCCCGTACCCCCGTTTGCTGTGCCCCCGTCTCTGGCGCCCTGAAGGTGCTGCCGCCAGCTATCGCGGGCCACCCGGTGGGAAAGAGACGCCAACCTCCTCACCCAATGCCTCGAAGGCGAGAGGCCAGTGCTGGAGAGCCCCGTGCGCGGCCTCCGCGTGTGGCCCCTGCGCGTGGCCACAAGACGGAGCGATCCCCCTCCATCCAGCCGACCGCGCGCCTCGGGAGAAGCCAGGCCGACTTGGGCCCTCCGCACCCTGACAGCCCCCGAGACCTCCTGCTCCTCCTCCTCCGTCTCCTCCTGCTTCTCCTCCTCCTGCTTCTCCTCCTCCTCCTCCTCCTCCTGCTCCCCCCTCCTCCTCCTCCTCCTCCTCCTCCTCCTCCTCCTCCTCCTCCTCCTCCTCCCCCCATGCGACCCCACGGGGGGGGGCGGGGAGAATCATAAACGGTGGGCGCCCGAGGCCGGCAGGACAGCGGCACCAGAGGTGCCCCCCAAAAGGGCTCCTGAGCTGCCGCTGCTGCCCCAGAAGGCGCGGGAGAGCCCCTGAACTGCCGCTGCGGCCCCTGCATCCCTGCTCCGAGTTCAAAACAATTGAGGCTAAGAAGCCAGAACCCAGGTCCAGGTATACGACAACTCCCAGAAAACGCTCATCGTGCAGTCCAGATTCTTCGTTCTCTGACGTGGAATCTGGAGTTCATGCAAATTCTTGCTTTTTCGTAAGATTTCTGATGGGCTGATGGGTGCACAGCCAACCCGTATAAGAAGGACGACCGAAGAGGATGCAAGGGCCTTGGAAGGCCATGTTGACACTTTTCGAGCGGGGCGCGGCCAGCGAAAGCGGCCAAGGAATGGCCTTGACTGGGATGGATGTCCAGATACCCTTGAAACGTCGCTCGTCCTTACTCTTCCGCGGTCCTCGCCCTTCCCGCTTGCCCTCCCGCCCGCACGCTTAGTGGCCTCCCAGATGGGGTTCGAGTAGATGGGATCGGAGGATCGCGCCGCATCGCCAATGCATCGCCAATGCATCGGCGATGCACTGGGGATGCACTAGCGACGCCGGCGATGCATCGGCGAAGTCGGCGTGGAGAAAATCGAGCTCCGCATCGAGCCGCATCGCCGAAGCATCGGCGATGCGGCGCGATCCTCCGACACCACCTGCTCCGACCTCATCTGGGAGGCCTAGACCGCTGCCGCCCGCCCGACGCCTGGCGGAGGCATACAGTCAGACGGGGCGGGTCGCCCTGGCGGGGCGGGTCGCCCTGGCGGGCCCTGTCGTTTCCAGGCCCCGCTGAGTCCGGCAGGTTCGTGTCGCCACGACCTGGGCGTGTGACTCTGAAACCGCGTGGATTTTCGAGCCTTGCACGATCAGCGACTCTTCGATCCCCAGATAGCTCCATCTCGACATTATGGGCCACAGGCGGCGCTCCACCCTGAACGCCCGCGGGGGAGTCGCCGCCGCGTCGGCACAACACGAAGAGAGAACTAACAAACATGCGTAAACATGAACGTTTGGAGGTTCGCGCGGATTGCCTGGATCGGCGCTGCACCCCCCTCCCTGGCGCGCGGAGAGCGCAAGGGCGGCACCGGAGGCGCCGCTAGAGGGTACCATCGCCGATCCGAGAAATCCGCGTGGAGCAAGGTATATTTATTGTGATACCGTAATGAATTATGTCAACTTACGGGGCGGTCCCTCCTCCTCCTCCTCCTGATGATGATGAGGAGAAGGAGGAGGAGGAGGAAGAGGAGGAGGAAGCGGAGGAGGAGGAGGACGAAGATGAGGAAGAGGATGAGAACCTCATCCTCCTCCTCGTCCTGCTGCTGCTCTTGCTCGATGTGTTTCACCTCGCCTCACGCCCTCCGCACCTCTATGCTCGTCGTCGTCCACCATCTCGCCATCTCCATGCTCCTCCTCCTCCTCCTCCTCCTCCTCCTCCTCCTCCTCCTCCTCCTTTCCTCCCCCTCTCCATGTTCCTCCACCTCCCCCTCCCCACCCTCTCCCTGTTCCTCCACCTCCCTCTCCCCCCCCCTCACCCTCCTCTCCCTCTCCCTCTCCCTTTTCCTCCACCTCCCCCTCCACCCCCTCCACCTCCTCCCTCTTCTCTCCTACTCCTCCGCAGCCCGTTGTACATGTGATGCTCCCCCGCGCCTGCTCCCCCACCCCTGGCCTTGAGGCTTGCGCTGAGCAGCCGCACCATCGCGCACTCTCGCGCGCCGCGGACGCGTGGCCCCCACCCTGCGCGCGGGGATGAGAGACCAATACGGCCAGGGCGGGGAGGACTCCGGGGAGCAGGACGAGCAGGAGGGAAGCGGGTCCCGAGGCGTCTCCGCGTTTTCGCATTTTCCGTGCCTCCCGTGGCCCTCCGCGGGCCCCAGGGAAGTCACACAACAACTCGGGATGAAGAGCGGCTCCTGGGAAAAGGCCGCGGGGTCTGGGACCCGCTCCCTTCAGGACATGGCGACGGCGACGAATCGCACCTCCCTCTTCTCCGCAACCTTTCGGATAACAGCCTGTGCGTGAGGTGCCCGTTTTTCCGCAGGTGCTGGCAAGTAACGGAAAAAGCGAGGTACGAGTGATGACGTTGCGTGTTGGGCGAAGCCCCTACGGGGGAGTGCAGAGGGGGGGGTAGGGGGAGGGAATGGGTGTTAATGGCCGCTCCGCCTCGTTATTTATCGAATAAGACGGTCTTTAGGGCTTAAAAAAAAAGCGTTCCGCTCGAGACATCCTCGGAAAACGCCTCTTGAGCGCTTCTTGGGCCGTCTTGGGAGTTCCAAGAGAGCCCAAGAACCGGCCAAGACGGCCCAAGATACCTTCAAGACGTCCCAAGAGCGCTCCAAGAGAGCCCAAGACCGCCCAAGACGGGCCGAAGACGTCCCAAGAGGCCTCCAAGACGCCCCAAGAGGCGCCCAAGAGGCGTCCCAAGAGGGCCCCAAGAGGACAAACTCATTGATTTTCAAACGGAAAACGTACATTTTTAGCATATGCGGCTTGTCGGCTTTTACGGCGTTGACGACGGCCCAAGATGCCCCCAAGACCGCCCCAACACGGCCCAAGAGGCTCACAAGAGGCCCCAAAAGCGGCCCAAGAGGGCCCCAATACGGCCCAAGAGGCGCTCAAGACGGTCCAAGAGGGCCCCAAGACGGCCCCAAGAGGGGGACCACGAACCGAAAAGTCTAGCCTTTCGCCCCAAGACGCTCCCAGGAGGCCCCAAGAGCCCCCCAAGAAGCCCCAAGAGGCCCCCAAGAGGTTTCCAGGAGGCCTCCAACAGGGCTCTAAAAGGGCCCCAATAGGACTCCCAAGAAGGCCCAGCGACGCCAAATAAACAGCGATCGGTAACGCAAACAGCTCTTCACACCAAGGCTCCCAGGAGCGAACGGTGACGTAAACAAGCTGATAAGACCAAGGCTCCCAGCAGAGAGCGGTGACGTAACAAGTTCCTGACACCAAGGCCCAGCCAAGGCTCAGGAACGGGCGGCAACGCAACAATCTCTGAACCCCAAGGCTTCCAGGAGCCAGGGGTGACGTAACCAGCTCTCAACGCCAAGGCTCCCGGTACGAAGGGTGGTGTGAGTACTTGCGGTTTATGTTGCTGCAGCGCTCTTTCCGTTTCTGTGCCGGGCCCAGGTAACGGAAAGAGCGAGGTAGGAGTGATGACGTTCAGGTGAGGCGAAGCCCTAAAGGGAGGGGTTCCAGGGGAGGGGGGAAGCGTGCGGGAATGGTTGGTAATGGCCCAAGACGGCCCAAGAGTCGCCCAAGACAGCCCAAGACGGGTGCGAGACGGCTCCAAGACGGTCCCAGAGCGCTCCGAAACGGCGAAAGTTGGGTCCAAGATGGTCTGAGAGAGTCCCAAGACGCTTCAAGATGGCTCCAAGACGGCCCAAGAGGCTTCCAAGAGGCTTCCGAAGAGGGCCCCGAGAGGCAAAAGTCATTGATTTTCCAATGGTTTTTGAAGGTTTTTCGGGTTGCAGCCTTTTCGGGCCAAGAACGGCCCAAAACGGCCCAAGAGGCTCCAAAGATCGTCCCACGACGGCCTAAGAGACCCCCAAAAGGGCCCGAAAACAGTCTAGGAGGGCCCCAAGACGGCCCCAGAGGTGCCCAAAACACCCCAAGAGGGCCCCAAGACGGCCCCAGAGGGCCCCAAACGAGCCCGAAGAGGCTCCCAAGAGGGCCCCAGGAGGCCCCCAAGAGAGCCCCA